TGCAGTGCGGCACGTCGCACGCGCACAGCAGCTCGTCTGCGGGCACGAGGACAGCACGCGTTGCGCCACGGGGCCGGGATGCCCCGTTCGGGGTCAGCCGCCACCCGTCCTAGGGATGCTGGTGGCTTTGGGGTCAACGGGATCTATGCTCAAGACCCTAGAAGCAGGCTGGGACCACCAGGAGGCAGCAGAGGGGATGCGCGGGGAAAACGCATCCGTGCCATGGGCTGGAACAACAAATTGGGCTGCCCGAGCTCGCAGCGCACAGCCCGGGGGTTGAATCCTGCCCATGGAGCCCCAGGGAGTTTTGGAACCTGAGTTTTGGACTCTGGGGGTGTTGTGTTTTGGGATCCAGGCACCGAATGTGCAGCCCCTCGCCACGGGGCCAGGGGGCGGCTGCGCTCCCGCCTCCCGATTTAGCTCTGCCCTTTGGCGCAGAAAATATCCCTCCTGGAATCAGCAAGTTCAGCACGAGGGCAGCCAGACGGACGGTGGCAAGGGGACAGACAGACAGCCGGCCGGCCGCAGCCCCCCACGGCCCCATGCTGGTGACCTGGGCTTGGTGGCGTGGGCTGGGGACCATCCCTGGCGCTCCTCGGGGGCTCCACGTCCCCCCTGCCCAGAGCCGGGACGATCCCAGCCTGGATCCACCCCGGGTCCCCCCGGTGCTCTCTGGGGACCACGAGCAGCTCCTTGCTGCTCCCCACCACCAGCAGCACCTCCCCGGAGCCACGTCCTGCAGCTTGGTTATTTTGAGCAGAGCAAGCGATTAAGTTTCCAAACAGCCCCGAGTTTATTTTAACCGCCCCGCGTGGGGCGGAAGGCGTCGGGCACGGCCCCAGCTTCATTTTCTGCTCCGTTTTGCTACTCACCGGCAGCAAGGCCGAGGGAGAAGGTCAGCAGTGCCAGCCATGGCCCCGCCACAGGCTTCTTGGGACATTTTCCTGCAGGAAAAAAAAAAAAAAAAGGGGGGTGACGGTGGCAGCCACAGCCCTGGGGCACCCCCAACATCCCGGGGCTGGCAGCCGGGCAAAATGTGGGCACAGCCGCGCGGTGGCTTTGGGAAGGAAGCAGCGGGACGCGGTGTCCGACGGGGAGGGAGGGCAGCGAGGCGAGGTAGGATGTGCTGCTTGCAAGTGGAATTCGGCTCCGGACGTCCCGGTTGCAGCCCTTCCTGCGAGCAGTTCCCCGGGACGGCTGCAGACGCACGCGGAGCCGGTGGGATGCCGGGATGCCCCGTACGGCCCCACGGCACTCGAGATTTGGGGTAGGAAGGGGGCATCGCCACGGCCACAAGGCCCCCACAGCCTCCCCCGTCACCACGAGTGGTACCTTGGTGTGTCCCACGGACATCAGTGGGGCTGGAGGTCTGCGGGATGGGGCTGGGAGCCCCCACGCCCCGCTGCGCACCCCCAGGTCCCCGCCGCAGCCGGAGCCGCCCCGGCAGCTGGCTGCAATCCGGGGCTCAGCGCCGGGAGGGGGCTTTTGTACAGAGCTTATCAATGACACAAGCGGAGTCACTGCGGGCGGCCAAGAATTCCCCAGCTGCGCCTTTGGGGAAGGTTTAGCCATGATTTTTTTTTTTAATTATGATGACTTTTGTATTTTTCAATAGCTCCTCGGAAAAGGAGGAATTTTGGCCAAGCCCCTCGCGGCACCGCCGCGCGTTCCCTTCCCACGAGGCCGGGACCTGGCTCCCCAACCCCACCTCGCTCCCTTCTCCGTCACCCGCGATTCCCAATATAAACACGCCGAAGTCGCCGTTTCCTGCAATTCAAGGAGCCCTGCCCATGGCAGCCAGGACAGGAATCAAGATTGTTTAGATTCTGGCCTTGATGGGGAAAGGCAGTCACGCAAACACGGCCGCGCGGAAAGGCACACGGACGTGGCCGTCCCGGGCAGAGCTGCGACGGCTCCGGCCGCTGCGCAGCATAAAAATGGGCTTTTCCTCCCCAAAATAGCTCACTTTGTTGTAGCTCGTGGAGAGGAAACGGTGACCCGAGCTCAGGGCTGTGGTGAGAGCAGGATCCGCCCCGGTAGGAGCGGTGCCTGGCCGCTCGCAGCGCTCCTCACCGGCCGGTCCCTTGGTTAGCAGGGGGTCAGCCCTACAAGGATGAGATTTGGGAAATAAATTCAGCTGGGGCCGTTCAGCTCTCGGGTTGTGAGCCCCTGGGATGCTCCTAGGCATGCCGGTCACCTCGCAATTTGGTGTGCTGGGGAATGAATCTTTTTAATACGGAAACGGAGACTCCCAGGCAGTGAATCCCCTCCTCGGAGGCGCTTCCAGGACGCCACCAAGCAAAACCCTGGCCTTGTCAGAGCCCTGCGGGGTTTTCGCCATTCAACCCAAAATGGTCCGGACCTCACCGAAAACCTCACTGCCCACGAGACAAAATTGCAAGCAAAGCAAACCCTAACCCAGAGCCGTCCCCAGCACCGAGCTGTAGAAAACCAGGGTCAGAAATATCCCGGGACACATCTGCAACGGGTCAAAACCAGCCCCTGACGCCCCCCCCCAGTCTCTTCCCATTTCAAGCTGCGGCGTTTGCACCCCCTGGGGGTCCTCAGCAGCACCTCCAGCCCCGAAATGCTGGCAGCGAGCCACCCCACAGCTTTACGTCCCGTCATCCTGGGGGATCTGCAGCAGCTTCGGCCACAGGGGGAGGAAAAAAAATTGGATAAATCCCCCCTGGGGGGGGTTAGGGCTGGGCAGGAGCATCCCTGGCCAGGCAGAGGCTGTAGCACTCGCTGCCTTATGCACCAGAGGGGCTGAAATGCTGGAAGTCCCTGTTGTTGGGAAGGTCTTGAGCAAGACCCAGTGTGGAGAAGAGGAATTTCCCTGCCCTGGAATGGAGGCAGAGGCCAAGGGGCTGCTCGGAAGCAGCACCGGGGACAGGAGCCAGCAGGAAAGCCCGGACCCGCTGGGTACCTGGGCAGAAATGGGGCTGCAGCTCCCCGTGGCCACGCTTGCACGCTTCCAGCTGAGCAAACCCCGTTTCCTCCAGGAGAGCAAACCCCGTCTCCTCCAGGAGAAACATTTCCCAAACGGCACAAGAAGGATGGAGGCGAAATTCAGGCGCAGCGGGGACCCGCGGGGACAGGCTGCGCACCCCGGCCCCGTGCACCACCGGGATTGCTGCACCGTAGGACGCACGCAGGAGAGCAGCAAAACCAGCTCAGACACATTAATAAGAGAAACAGGAACATGATGCCAGCCCTCTCATCAGCTCAGGGTCTTGTTAGCAGCTGTATAATATTTTAGCTCTTTGCTGAGGACCCGGGGTCGGATCCTGCTCTCAGCCACGCTGCCGTAAATCCAGGTTTATGTCCCCAAAATCCAGATTCCGGCATCTGCTACCCTGACGTAAACCCTGGTGTCCCACCGAACGTCATGGAAACGGGGCCAGCTCCTGATTTTGGCCACGCTGGTGAAAATCCAGAGGGAAACCGGCCGATCTCCGAGCCTGGAGACGTTCGGCAGGGATCAGCCCCTGCCCTGGGCTCGCCAGCAGCTGCCCTGGGCATTAAAAAGTGATGGAGGCTTTGAGGAAAGAAGACGGAGACCCCCGGGAGCAGAAGGCAGGACCAGGCTGGGGGGTCCCGACCCCACAGAGGTGGGGGTCCCACATGGCCCCGCTCTGTGCAGCTTCCCCCGAGGGCGCTTTGGGACTCACCTACAGCATCCGCGCCGGCCCCGTGGGTGCTGCCCGGCTCTGCTGCTGCTCCTGGGGAGGATTCCTGGTTGTGGCCCCCCCCGTGTCCCACACCAGGCTCAGCCAGGGACGCTCCCAGCCGTGCCCTGCACCCCGAGGAACCTCATGGGGACCCCAAAGAGGTTCAGCTCCCGGCCCGGCCCCGCTGCCCCGACGCGGCCGCCTGGCGAGCGCTCTGTGGTCTGGATGTGGGAGAAGTCAAAAAAATGTTTCTTATTACTGCCTCTTCCTGCCTGGCTTTTCTCCACCACTCCCAGCTAATAAAGCATTTCCTATTGCTGAGCACACATCCCCATCCAGCCTCCCTTCCTCCCGCACACCGGGCCCCAGCTCCATCCTGGTTGCTCTCCCTCGTCCCGCTCCTCCCGCCCCTGTCCCTCCCCAGCTGCTTCCCCAAATTTTCCTGAATTTTGAGCCCGGGAGAGGCCCCGGGGCTGCACCCTGCCAGGTCCAGAGCACCCAAAGCCTCCTGCACCCGGCGGAGTCGCAGCCGCTCCATTTGTGGGGTTTATTTGGGGGTACCAGGGGTAGGGAGGATGCTGTGGGTTGGCGTTAGAGCACCGGGCACCTCTCCCACCACCCCAATGCTTGTCCCCCATGGGTATGGGAACATTATGGGGGAGCAAAGGGGCTTCCCAGCTGTCCAGTGCTGTCCCCAGTAGGATTTTTGGAGCTCAAGGAGCACTGCACCGAGGGGTGCTCGGCCTTCTCTGCAGGGCTGGGACAAAGGGACCCACTGGGCACGTCTCCCATATGTGCCACCACCCTCGAGACCCCCCAGCTGCGCTGGGACACCCGCGGTGGTGCCGTTCCCACGGCGTGGGGCGCACGGAGCCAACCCCACCGCGGGCAGCGGAAACGCCGCTTCCCCTTTTGCTGCCCCGGGGTTGCAGTTTCAGCCACCCTGGCTGGGGTCCCGTGTCCGTCCCCCATCCCTCAGCTCCTCCCCAGCACCCCCCAGCCCCAGCTTTCTCCCAGCTGCTCCTTGCAGACACCTCGAGCAGCTCACGTGGAGGCAGCCGGCAGCCCCCGGGGCCGGCGTCGCATCCTCTTTCCTAACCCAGCTACGTGGCCTGATTTCCCTCGCCGTTCCCCGTTTCATCACAAACCCCAATTGCATCACGAGCCCAAAATTGCAGCACGACCCTTCCTGGAGCCGTCGCGGCCTCTCCGCCTGGGCACTGGCGGCAGAGCTCGGCCGTGGAGCTTTGAGGTCCTGCCCGAGGTTCCTCCGCTATCTCCCCGATCACCCTCGACGGAGGAAGTGAGACAAACAAGAGCACAAAACCAGGATCAAACGCGCGGAGCCTTCATGCGTGACCTTGCCCGTGGCGGAGGCGGGAGGAATTTTCGCCGAGCCGGCGTCCACGCATGGGAAACGGGCAGTTTCCATCAGATAGCAGCGCCCGTCTGCCGGAGGAAGTCTGTGCCGCAGCCGCGCTATCGCCGTGACCATCTCTGCCCCGGCGCAGATTGCAGCCGCCAGCCCTTCCCCGTTTTTTATTTTTGGGGGGGGGTTCAACAAGGGGGGGGGGACAGCGGCCCCGAATTTTGCCCTCAGCAGCCGGGCGCTGGATGCGCAGTGTCCAGCAAGGGCTCTGCTTCAGGCGCTGCTCTCTTCTGCACTGTTTTTTTTTTTAAGCGCTGGGGGAAAAAAAAGAGATTTTTAAAGACCTCGAGAAGCTGCTGTAACAACAGGCAGCCCAAGGAGGTTTTCTACCCGGTCTGCCACCGGAATTTCAGCAGGGCAAGGATGGTTCTGAGAGATTTCCAGCACCGGGATGAGAAAAAACTGGGAGATGGAGGCTGAGCAGCAAGGAGAGGGGAGGAGAAGACTCGTGCCCAGTGCTGCCTGCCTCTACGGGCAGACAAACCGTGGCCATGCCGAACCCAGGAGCACCAAACCCCTGCCCTGACCCGAATATTTCCTCGCCTTTGCACAGCTCGAGGCCACCCCTAGCTCGTGGTGCAGCAGGAGGCCGCTGCCTCCCACCCGTTGTGCTCCGTGCCGGGCTCTGGGGGTGCCAGCCCCGCGCTGAATCACAGCGGGATGGGTGCTGGCGGTGCCGGCCACGCCGGGGCTGTGCCGCCGGCACGATGGCGCAAGCTCCCCACCGCTCCCACCTCCAAGCCAAAAACAAAAAATCAGCCTTTATTAAATAATTCCGGCTTCTTATGGCCACGTGCTGCAGTTTCGCCCCGCAGAGCAGCCCATGCGCCCATGGGACCACAGCCAGCCACCCCTGCGGGTGTCACCAAGGGGCCGCGAGCCTCCATCCTCCGCTGTCCCCGGCTGTCCCCGTCCCCTGTGCGGCAGGAGCGTGGCACGAGCCAAGGTCTCTCCGTGCACGTCCGCCCCCGGCTCATCTGTGAGCCGTGGCAGAAGCTGGCACCGGAGGAAGGCGCCGCGGGGAGCCCGGCGCGAGCCAAGGCTGGGGGGGAACAGGAGGGAGGCGGCGGCGCCTGGAGCCCCTGCGAGGCACAGCCCCAAACTGGGGAGGACTGGGGGGAGCGGGTGGCTTTGTGCCCCCCAAGAGGACAGGGCAATGATGGGCTCGGCTCTGGGTTGCAGGTTCTGCCTGCCCACAGGGAAGGGTTATTTATTTTATTTATTACCAGGGGATTTAAGTGATTCGAGTGCCTCTTGCTGCAAGGTGCTCTCCCTGCCACCAAACCCTCCCTGCCTGCAAGCTGCAGGAGGCAGCGAGGGCTGCTCAGGATCCGGATTTCACCTCCCCGCATCCCCACGGGGTCACGTCGAGGCGTTTTTAGGAGGAACTTGAAATATTTACACCACCAGCAGCATCCCCGTGACTCAGACATGGCTGCTGGGGACCCGTGATGTTCACAGGGAGCAGAGCCAGGACTGTCCCTGCCGCCCCCAAACCTGCACAGGGTGAGGACCCCACGGCCCCTTGCTTTTGTTTGCAGCTCAAATCCTCGCTCAAACCATTCTGGTGCACGAATCAAGAGCTGCATGGGGAAGATGTCCTGCTTTAACCACATCTGGGTGGCTGCAGCGTGACGGCAAACTTGAGCTCGCTGCCATCCCGGCACGTGGTGCGGCACGGCTGGGGAATGCACCAGCAAAAAAATAACTGCACAGAGGGGAGCTGGTGCTGGGGGGCACCAGAGGTCCCTGTGGGTGCAAGGCGAGGTGTTTTGGGACAAAGCAGGAGCAGGGAAATTGATGCCACCAGGGCAGTCGGGCCGCCCTGGCTGGGGGATGCTCGCAGCATGGGTGAGGCTTCGCTGCCAGCCCGACGAGCAGCCCTGGGGTTTATTCATTAAATCAATCCCGTTAACATGGCAACTGCTCCCACTTTAATTTGCACAGTCACGTTCCGCCACACTCCGCGAGATCCAGATCTCCGTAAGATCCAAGAGGCAAAAAAAAAAAAGGACAGGAGGGAGCCCCCTTCTGCCCCCACCCTGCCCCGGCTCCTGGCGGAGGGCAGGATCCCCCCCAGCACCATGGGGCCGGGCAGAGCCAAGGCGTGGGATGACGAGGGGCTGGGCAGGGAGCAGGGACCTGGGCTCATCCCCTGCCAAAACCACCCAGCAGGTCCCGAAGCAGTTGGGGCCCTCGCCCCGAGACCTCCCACCTTAGGGTCCCTTTCCCCCTTTCTTCCTTTTCTTCTCGTTCCCCGCTTCCTTGGCAGCTCTCTTCTCCTCCTGCAGCTCCTTGTACCTCCACTTGGGCGGCTGCAGCAGCTCCTTGTCCTTGGCACGACGCCTCCACTCCCTCCTGCTGGCCGGTGGCGAGGAGGCCTTGGTCAGCTTGATTTTCGGGACGTGCTCCCCGGGGAAGATGCTGTTCCCGCGCAGCAGCAGCAGCCGCCGGGGCAGGAAGCCCAGGAGGCGATTTTGGGGACAGCGTGGAGGCAGGAGCCGGATCTCCGACACCGCTTGGCCGTTGCACGATGCTGCCCCGGCCACGGGGCTGGCGGTGCCCGGATCTGGCACGTGCTGCTGGAGGATCTCCGGCACCGACAGCCGGCGTTTGCCCACCTCGGGGGGGCTGTCGGGGCAGACGGTTTGGCAAGCGGTGGCCACGAAGGGGCTGGCCAGGGCGGTGGTCATCCTCACCATGTGGTCCATCACGCCGTCCTCCTCGGGGTCGTGAGGGAAGCGGAAAGTGAAGAGGGAGCGGATTTTCTCCGACAGCTTCTGGCTCCGGGATTTGGGGCTCAGGGCTTTGGCCACCAGCCCGGCCAGCGCTGGCCACTCGGGGAGGTAGCGGGTGCCGAATTGCTCGGCCCGCGGGCGCCGCAGGAGGCTGCGGATGCGAACGGTCGTCTCGAAGCGGCCGGTGAAGGCTGCCCACTCCCTGGCCGTCTTCCCTTTGATGGGATCCACTGCCTGCAGGTCGGCTCCTGGTGACACCGGGATGCAAAGGATGTCACCGCAGGTGTCCCCGCTCCATCCCCAAAATCACCCCGGAGCTCAGGCTGCGCGCACGAGGCAGCACAAAAATCAAAACAAGAACCCATCCATCCAAAAAAAAAAAAAAAATGTATTTGGGCTGCGTTCACAGCTCAGCATTTGGGGGCAGTGACCAGCAGGTGTCACCACGGCCCAGGCTGGCACTGGACGGACAGCCGGACAGCGTGCCGGACAGACGGACAGCCTGGTTAGGGTCAGAGGAGCCGCAGGGAAGGGCTCAGAGCCCCTGCCCTGCATGGAAGGGCTCTGCAAAGCAGCTTTGGGCTGTCCAAGTTGGGATATTGGGATATTGGGATATTGGTGCCACAACACCCCAGGGTAGCCGTGACCCCCCTGGTGTCCCCCCCTCCAACCAAGAGCATCAGTGCAGGCCCTTCACTTCCCAACCAGAGCTTCAGGAACCAGAGGGGATGCCCAAAAGCATCAGAGCTCAGGCTCCAGCAGGTGCCGGGGCCGCTCACCCGCCAGCAGCAGGGCGGCCACGCAGTCCTCCTGCCCCTGCACCGCCGCCTTCATCAGCGCCGTCAGCCCGCGGCCGTCGCGCCTGTCCAGGTCCAGCGCCGGGAAGTAATTCAGGAGGTAGTTGACTATCGTGATGTGTCCTTCGCAGAGGAGAAGCCTCGTTAGCGTTTGGGTGGTTAACGAGGGTTAATTGTTAGCGCCCGCTTTGTAGGAAGGGGCTTGGTGGGGGCGTCTCGAACGCAAACGCGGGGCAAGGTTGGGGGGAGCTGGACCTGACCCCGTCTGGTTTGCTTTGCAAGAGGCTGGGTGGCAACGTGCAGAGCACGGTGCTGGCTCGCCAGCTGCTTCAAGCAGGTAATGCAGGAAAAAATCCAAAATAATAATAATAATAAAAAATCACCAATTCTAGCAATAATTAGAAGCAGGAATAGGGCACGATCCCACCGCAGCGCACTCCCTCTGCGGCTCATCAGCCCTGGATGGCCCTGGGGGAGCAGAACTGATCCACAAAGAGAAAATTGGGATTGGAACAGAAGTTTTGGTCCCCAGAAGTGGAATTTACTGCTCAGGCCTTTTGCTGGTGTGGATCTGTGTGGCTCACTCGGCTTTTTTTTTGGTGAGCTGCTGGGCTGACCAAGCGCAGGGTCTGGCTGAGTTCTGCTGCTCAGGCAGGACTGGTTGCAAGGGAACATTTCTGTAAAATCTCTGCTTTTACACAATTTAATCATTTTTAAGACTGCACTGACATAAGCCATAAGGTTGTACAGGGCAGGTCACTTTGCTTTGGCCCCTTGTCTTTCCTGGCTGCTCGTTTTTTGGGGTTGCAGAGGGAAGGGATGGGCACGAGGGGCGCCTACCTGCTTGTGCTGCCATCATGAGCGCCGTGTTCCCCTCCTTGTCCTGCTGGTTGACATCGATGTGCGGGCACTGCCGCAGCAGGGGCACGATGTCCACGAAGCCCTTGCAGCAGGCGACCATCAGCCCGTTCTGCAGGGGACAGCGCTCAGAGCGGGACCACCACCGCCCTCCCCACCCCAAACCCGAAGGGTCCGGGATGGGAAGGAGGCTGTGGTTCAGCTCTGTGGGTCCACACAACCCCAGGAGACCCCAATCACCCATCCCACAGCTCTGGGGGCTCATCCCGAGCTCTGCCCCCTGCTCACCCTCCTTCAGCAGCCACCACCCTCCAGAGTTTGCCCGTTCCCAGGACACCCTCTCCAATCCTCCCCCAGCCACTCACCCTGCCGTTGATATCCAGCTCCGTGGCCTCCCTCCTGCTCACCCCGCGCTCCAGCCTCTCCCTCACCAGCTTGGCATCGTTCCTGAGGCAGCACTGGTAGAGGCTCAGGTCCTCGGCACCACCGGTCTCCGCAGGGAGCTCAGTGCAGGGGTAAACGGAGTCATCAGAGAGGATGCTGCAGGTGTCCGAGAGCTCGGACTCCGCGCTCGACTCATCCTCCTCCTCCTCCTCCTCGTAGGACAGCTCAGGGTCGGAGGCTGCAGCACGTTCTCCTCTTCCATGCTCATCTGTCATCCGGCCCGGGCAGC